CTCACAATTCTGTGAAAAAAAGTCAGAATTTTAAGATAAAAAGTCGCAATAACCTTTTTTTTTTTTTTTTATTCAGTGGCGGAAACGGACTTCTATAATATTCCCTCTTGAACTGTCCAACTCCTGAACATAAAGACATTCTATTATCCAATAAATGTTTGCGCAAGGAAACAACATAGCAATGCTGTCATTAGCATTGCGGTTGCAACCAAATTGTTGAGGATAAACGATGCAATGGTAGTATGGCGTGCAGGTCTACAATTATCAATATGGAGGATATTTTGTTGTGCTTTATTTAGAAATCTATACAAATATTGGCTGAAGAGGTTGTTTTTGGGAAGTTTTATTTGCTGTTCAATGCTCATCATCTTGCTGAAAGCCGCCATGTTAACGTGATGTCATACAGCCACATTTCTGCAAAATATGTGAAAAACGTGCTTGGAAGTCCAACTTCTAGTGGTGTTCTTTTGTATTTTTCCAAGTACATAGTTGTAAATTCCAACATTCCTATCATTATTGTTAAGCATGTACTTCAATCCCATTTGTGGGGGTTGGGCTCCTGCTCGCCCATCCCCCACTGCCAAACTACAAATCCTGTAGGAATATAATCACCCTTTTGTGATATTTTTTATTAAATATATATTTACATCTATTTTATACATATGTATATCAAGTTATTTATGACAGTTCGTGACTATATTAATATTAATACTATACATAAATGTTTAATAATTTAATGGTCTGTTTTTTTTTCCCCTTTTATGTTACATAAATATTTCTGCACCACTGTCCACAACAACATGCAAATCTTTTGCACTTAAAACAATTTTTAACCTTAGCTAGCTATTTTCGCGATAGCTCCGCCCCTTCTTCCAGTCAGCCACTCCGAAACGCTCGCCCTCTGAAGCTTTGAGAGCCATTTTTGTTTCATGGCAGAGAGCTCGGCAGCTCTCATTTCAATGCTCTCAGAAGGGACTCGGTAAAAGGTAAGACATTTAAAAAAATATTATGTATTTATTTGTAGGAGGAAGTGCGGTCTTACAGCAGTGTGACATTTACTTAAAGCAGGTTCGCCATAAAGACTTCGTATATGGCTTATGCTCAACTACATTTTAGCCTGGCTTTTTGCGTATTAGTTTTTCTCAAGTAGACACCCAAAGTGGGGCTGAAAAACGTCTGTTGTTTTTTTTAAACGTTTTTATTCAATCCATTTACGAGGCAATATTCAACCGGTAAGTATCAGACGAATGTTTATCTCCCCTTTTCGCCAGCTGAACGTTCCTCTATTGTATTGTTGCATCGCCATTTGAAATGTTATTGAATGTAATTCTAAATTATTGACGTTTACTGCTACAAACCTCTGGTTTCGCAGTATCACTTCGCCTCTTGGATATCATTCGATCTGCTTTAACGCTTTGGTTGCTAAGGAAGACTAATTTAGCGTGTAAAGACCGGATCTGTGTATTTTCGTATGCGCTCGTTTGCGTCAAACCTCGTGAAGTATCGCAGTTTAGGGCGCTGCGCGATCAAGCTACTAGAAAAACGTGTCTGTATTCATGTACGTGTTGTGAATTTAAATACAGACATAGTATAGATTTCATAACAAAAAAAACATGAAACAAAAGGCATGCCTATTTTTCATTTTAATTGTGTAAAATTGTTATAATTTGCCTGACTTGTTTTGATTTAGGCAAATTACTTTTTTTAACTAAATAACATCAGATTTGTATATGAACTACAAATTTACAATAATTTGTGTTCAGATGCAATTAACTTAATTAGCGACCAGTCATAGCAATATCACATTGCCAAAATGTAGCGCTGCATTTTTATATGGAATAACTATCGGCATTTTTAAAAAGAGCGAATTTGCATTATCTAAACTGTAAATGTTGCGAAAACCTCTGTTTAAGGGCTTTTAGGAGTCTATTCACGCAGGGTGAGTTATTGTGTTCTGTTTAAGGAATTGTAAATTGTCACGCCGTAAATATTCGCTATAGGAATGTTTTTGGCCGTTACAAAACGTTTCGCACAATGAGCTATGCTATGCAACAAGATGCTAGATGTTTTGAAAAGCAACATGGCAGCTCAGTGTCATTTTTAAGACAAAGGACTGATCTCATGAATTTGGAGGTTGGGTAAAATATAAACTGTTTACATAACAGTGAATGGCAGTTAAAGTCGGCAAGAAATGAAAATTCATATAAATTTACCTGAAGTTATGCTGAAGTACTAAATGATCTATTTTCTAAATGAAATTAATCTTGTTGTGAACAATTCATCAATGAATGTGTATTTTATTTTTTTTCTTCCAATGGAGTAGACTTCTCAAGACTTATGATAAACTTCTTCAAATCGTTAAGTGCACTTAAACCACACCCCTTTCTTACAATTGACTGCGAACTCTGATTCACACCTGCATTCATCCAGTCAACAATACATAGAACCGCGTCCCTATCCAACAAATTTTGTTTAAATGTGCGTCACTATATAAAAAAATCTGTCGCTACTTCCGTTAAATCGCAAATATAAAAAGCCTTTCAACTCGCTTTGTGTTGCACTCCAGTTTTTATAATGCAGGAGTGCATTGAGTGTGAACGGCTCTTAACATCTGATTATTTTCTAAAAACTAGCTACATTTTCTAGATGTTACAGATGATAATACACTCTAAAATGATGAAAACACACATCAGTTAGATTCTTGGCAATGTAAATGCACAGGAAATATTAAATCCCAGCAAGCACGTGCCACAACATCTGTCAATTATTTTGTACAAAAATGTTATATATATATATATTAGGGGTGGAACGGTTCGCGGAAAAAAATCGAACCGGACGGTTCTCCACACACGGTTCGGCACTCGCTAGGACCGCGGTTCAACTTAAATCTGACAATGAATCTGTAATATGGTTTGCTATATAAATAACACGTAAAACAAACAGGTTTCGGCTAATATATGTTTCTGTTGGTGGATGCGCATTCTGGCTTCCCAATACATTACAACAACAGCGATGGAAAAAAAAAAGGTGGACAAACCATTCACTCTTGTTCAATGCCGTATGCTGGCATATGAGCATTTATTCTGAATCACCTGGGTGCTGATACTGCGCGCGTGCGCACAGGTGAGACCTGAACAGCAGACGTTGATATCTGTGTTTAAGCTAAACTCTAAAAAGAAAATAAAACAAACTATACATATGGTTTTATTTTAAATTACAATAGAATATTTCATTATAAATATTAGGGGTGGAACGGTTTGCGAAAAAAAAAACGAACCGTACGGTTCTCCACACACGGTTTGGCACGCGCTAGGACCGCGGTTCAACTTAAATCTGACAACGCATCTGTAATATGGTTTGCTATAAATAACACGTAAAACAAACAGGGTTTGGCTGTTTCTGTTGGTGGATGCGCATTCTGGCTTCCCAATACATTACAACAACAGCGATGGAAAAAAAAAAGGTGGACAAACCATTCACTCTTGTTCAATGCCGTATGCTGGCATATGAGCATTTATTCTGAATCACCTGGGTGCTGATACTGCGCGCGTGCGCACAGGTGAGACCTGAACAGCAGACGTTGATATCTGTGTTTAAGCTAAACTCGTTTAAGCTTTGTCAGTTTAAACATTTAAAGGGGTCATGTGATGTT